CGTCTCGCCCCCTTGGGGGTCGGAATCGAGGCACCCGCGATTTTACGGTCGGCCCCCGTTTTCTGATACCGTTCGATTCAATATCGTTGCCGGTTTACTGCTTTCCGAGCGGCTCGGCTTTTATTGTACATACGTAGCCGTCCGTTTCCGCGCTGGTCGTTCCTGTTTCGTTTACTACGGCCTCGCGAAACGGCGCGCGTCGGTCGCACGTCGTGCCGTTATACGACGGACCCGGCTGTTGCTTCTTCGTAAACCCTGGCGGGGAACGGTCCTGCAACGTGCCCTTTGGGCACGCGAGACGAATAACGAGACGGGAAATGGTCCCTGCAGGAACGCCCCGAGAGGAAGAAATCCACCGGAGGAAACCGGGTGCCTAGCGATTTCTGGACGAGATATCGACGGGGGCACCGTCGCGAAAATTTACGATCCTCAGGCCGACGATAAATTTGTCCTGGCGATCCTGGATGGCGACCAGGAAAAGTGAAATAAAAAGGATACCCGAAGGAACGTATCGAGACTCGTTCCGAGGGGGCGCGAGACCAGGAAGCCGAGCTCTCGAGCCGGCATCGAAGGGAACTTTTCCCCGGCCCCAGAAGTGTCAAGAGAAAGGCGCCTGGGGGGAAATAACAAGGCCCAGCCCGGAAGATTCCCATTCCCGGGTTCGATCCGAGGAGTCCGACTTCTCCGGAAGCCCGCAAGAAAGTCGCGGGTCGATCCTGCCTAGGAGCCGGGGGGAAAAGTTTCGAGAGAAAGGCGCCCGGCAATTTCGCCCCCTCGGAAAGTGCAACCTGTATAACCGGAGAGCTGCGGGGGGTCTCGAGCCGGCGAATCGGGGAAACCTCGGAAGTCCGACCCGGGAGGGGGAGGAAAAAATTAATAACTTCCGAGGACTGGGCGAGCGCCGATAGGGGGGCCGATCGCCAAGTTGGAAAATGGAAAATTGCTCGACCCCTCCCTCTCTCCGGACTCCTCGACCTTGTTCTGCCGCTGACAATGCCGGGATGAGTCGACAGGGACGAGGGTCATTGTTGGCGACGAGATATCGATTAGCGGATTAATCGATCCCTTCGAGGGGGCAGGGAACGACGCTCGGATCGGAATCTCCGAGGCATAAACATCTCCCGGACCCCTTGAATTTCCTTCTCCCCCTCGCATTATCCCGGGAAATCTGCGTCGTCGTCTCGCGCCGGTCCACCTTTTCAACCCCTTCCCTCGGGACCCACCCCCTCCAGGACTTCTTTGAGGCTCCGCAATAACTGCGGCTCCCTCGTTTACTCGCGCGCTCGGATGACCCGCGGACTCGTAATGGCTCGACCTCCTCTCTTTCGTTCTTCTCTCTCTTCCGGAATAAGATCTTGGACTTCGTTGTGAGTTTCGCCACCTCGAAGACTCCCCTCGTTGTGATCGACCCGGAGGCCGGTCGGAGGTCGAGCTCGTCCTCAGGTGGGACGAGGAGGCACACAGGGGTGCCTTCGCACCTGCTCGAGGACGCAGTTTGCCTGGAAAATTCACGCGGAAATGTCAAGGAAAGGGAATTAAAGCGAGGTAGGGAGCTCCGATTCGCAGGGGGTCCGATAAAAAATTTAATTTTGAATTAGACGCAGGACGGGATGAGGCGGGGATGTTCTGGACGGCAGTTTGAAGGGCTGCGGTGGGTGGGTGGGTGGGCTTGCGGAATCGAATCCAATAATTGATTCCCTTCGGCTCGACGGCTCCTAAAAAGGACTCGGCGAACCCGTCAACGTCGCTCCGCGTCCCCCGACTCGCCGATCGGTTTTCCGACCGCATATCTTGCCGATGTCGTTTTGTACCGTGACTCGCCGATCGCTTTTTCCGACCGCGAGTCTCGGCCGACGGCGTTCCGCGTCCTGCCCGTAACTTCCTCGCGGAAAAAGAGACCGAGGGGGCGACTGCAAGAACAATGGACGATCCGCGAGCCACGGGAATTATCCCCGGGGAAGTTGCGCCGATTCAGACGCTATTTAGGTCAATAGGAATGTTCGTAATTAATATGTCACAGGCGGATCATTTTGGTAAAATTTTTTTATGAGTCGCGAACATGTTTTTAAAATTAAGGTACGTATCAAAGTCTAATCCAATCTACTCGATTGAATATTTTTCGGGAAATGTTTGAATATTTTCTAGGCGTCGTGGTTCCTGGAGGACGTAATGCAGCTTATGCATTCCAGGGCGGTAATAAATTCCCGACGTAATTAGGGCATATTTTGCCTCGAGGTTCGAGGAAACTTGCGAAGGTCGCGATTTCCGGTGCGGCGCGACCTAGAGTCGAACTTAACGCGAGGGCTTTCCCTTCTCCTTTTTCATATATTCTTTTCTTTCGCTTTTCTTCTTACCCCGCACTTTCGGAACTTTCTCCCGGGAGTCTTGTCGGGGAGAGTCGTGGAACGATTATCCCCATTGATTAAAAAAAACCTCCGATATAAGCCGCCTCCGGCGGAGCTCCGCTCGAGCTGCGGAAAGATTCGCAGCCCCGATCCGCGGTGGAATCGTTGCGGAATCGTCGCAATTAATTCTCACCTATCGCACCCCGGGCCGTACGTCATCGCGTGCGCCACAATTTTTCATGGAATAGCTGCCGACCCCCCCATGTTCGTTTCTCTCAAAATACAAATGCAAAACGCCCCTAAGCGCGATAGACGTCTTAATGAATAATCGTTTCTTAACAAATTACCGCCACTGAAGTAAAATCGGGGACGAGCGTTCTCGCTTTCCAAATTTTTCCTCAAATTTGACGAGCCCTCCGCGGGACTAACGGCGGCATTTCCGCGCGCGTTATGCGGATCCGTTGCGCCGGCTAATTTTCCGAAGAGAGGACTGTTATTTCGCGCTAATTAGTTTCAACTACCGACCCCTCGGGGGGCTCTTAACCCCCGGGGGAGGCACCGCGATCCCGGGGAAAGTTTTCCCGGAGTTTCGCCGGGTTTAACGCGCAACGACGTATGCCTGAAAATCGCGGAGAGAGAGGGAGAGGCTCTCCCTCTGGAGTGCAGCCGGTGCCAGAAATAACGAGTCGTTACTTAAACTCGATGGCACTCCCGATCGGATCTCGTTAATGTATAGATTCCGTTCCAGTGCTCTCCGATAATTGGTAAGACCTTCCATTCTGCCGGGTAACCTCTCTTATTTCCTCCTTTCGGATGATTTTCGTTCCCCTTGCCGGGACGAGTGGCCCGAGAGCAACTTATTACCGATTTCGCGAGAGCGTTTGACCATTTCGTTAATTAACTTCCACGGACCCTTTTCTCTTCCATCGCCCTTGTTAACTCGGCCACTTCTCGGGTCACCCTGCGGTCCATTTTCCCTTCCATATTCCATTATCGAGTTACGATTCTATTACACTAATTCACCTTCTTTCTGCCTTATCACTTGACCGTCATTTTTTAATCTCGATGGCACTTCGCTATCGATCCCCCCGGTCTCCTTTCTCTCTCCGACTTTTTCTCTCCCTTTCCTCCCCGGTATATTTATAATGCAGCATGCTCGATGTGTACGCGGTCGCCTGGTATAGGAAAAAAAAAGGACCGCGATAGTTCGGCTCGAAAATGGAACGGCGGAACGTGGGCCGCGTACCTAAGGACCCCCCGCGAAGTGCCGGCCGGGCACCAAGAGGCGAGGGGGGGGCTTTCGAAAAGTTTTAATTATACGCGGCCCGTGCTCACGGCCCTGGGAACAAGAGCCCCGGTGTTCGGAAAGGAGGCCATTATTGGAAAAACATCAGGCAGTATCAGCATATTCGCCGAGGCGAAAGGGTGGAGAGGGCGGGCGAAGGAGGCGGCCCTTCCGCCGGGCCCCCTCGGGCCCCTCTCGGAGAAGCCGAGAAACGCGGGGAATTTTTTGGGAATTTTATTCCCACGTTGCATCCGGTGCATCCCTCGGCCCTCGTTGTCGTTGCACCCCTGCGTGGTGGGAGGCATTAATTTCGGATCCCTCGGCCTCCTGGACGTAAAGTCGATACAGAAAACGCCGACTCGGCCTGGAACGAGGCTCTAAGGCCCTCGTTGGAAAAAGGGGTTGATAGTGCCAAGGGGCGAATAAGGGTTGCTTTTTTTCCCGGTCGCAGGTGCGCCTTTCCTACGACGCGGGAGGCGGCATTATTTATCCACGCAATTTTTTCGATAAATAACGCATTGACGTTGAAGGAGAACCGTATCAAGGGTATTACGGGGAGGGTCGAGACATTTAAAAATTGTGCAAAATTGTATCGTTTTTTAGGAAAATAAAATTCCAGCTGGGTCTGGATTCTTGCCAAGTGCTTTCACATGCGAGCTCGATGGTGGAACTTTCCGGGGAAATAAATGAAATTCCTGGCTTCTCATTTAATTCTTTCCTATTCTTTGAGAGTACCCTTGGGTTTATAGAGTTCTCAGGTCGGGGGAAAGTAAAACGGAACGCGAAGAAATATTTCCGCGGTTTAATCTCGAACCCCTTCGGATGTCGACTATTAGCAACCCCGAAAGGCGACTCGGCGCGCATCCCGCAAGAATTTCTCTCGGCGAATCCAGCAAACGGGAAAGTATAATGTACGAGAATTGAATTCCCGATGCCGTTGCCTCGTTCGGGGCGATCTTCGTTGGCCCGTTGCACCCCCACAACGTGGAGCATTAATTTTCGGATCCCCCGCCTCCCTCCGACGTAAAGTCGATACGGCGCGGTGCAACGTCGTAGCAATCGATGCACCCCCGACTCTGCACCTGACTGGATCCTTTATTTATTTATTTATTTTTTCCTGCAAATTTCCCCGTAGGTCACGGAGGTAAAAGAAAGAAGTTAACGTCCCCTCGTTAATTCCCCCCCCGTCCGCTCGGGAAATCGCCCGAGTGGAATCGCGTCGGAATTGCATCGCCGAGATGCGCCCGGGATTAATTATGAAATATGAAATATAAAATATCCCCCCGGCCTGATTCCGACCGGCGGAGTGAATATTTGATCGACGTAATCATTAACCGCTGCTGTAATCGAGCTCGTTGATGTCGTTACAGGTGACTGTTGAATTTTCCGGGGATTTCTGCCTCCCCCGAGACGCTTCCTCTTCCTCTTCAGGGTGCGGCTTGTCAACGACGGCGCAGCGAGGGGTGAGTGAAGAAGTGGATATTTCTTTATTGCGATTATTTTATCACGATGTAGCATATTTTCCTTAAATCGTGAATTCTCCACTCGACGGCCCTGTTTAGCTCCTGGTTTTCGGCATTCCCTTCCACCCCGGGGAGAAATTACATTTTCTACGAGCTAATTCGCTCGAGGAGCCGCGCGAGAAATTGTCGGTGCAAACCGCGAGAAATAAACGCGGATGAATAAAGTTTCTCGCTTGGCGTCCGCAAAGAGGGGGCCTCTCGTCTGACCCGCAACTTTGTAACTCCTTCGAGGGAGCCCGAAATTGACGACAGAAAGTTGCGGAACTTTCTCCCGGGAATTTTCCCCTGATATTAATATCGCCGTGACTCGACAGAGTCAAGGGCCAAGCCGAGAGATCGCGATATTCCGGTCTCGCGCTCCTTTCCGTCCCTTTCGACAATGGCGAGTCGAGATCTCGCGAGGGTCCTTTCGCCGAAGGGAGAGCGGATCCGCATTTTCCCGGGTTAACTCGCGGGAGTATCCACTCGGGAAAATTCCCCGGTGAAATTACGTAAAGGATAATGCGGAAGAATTACGTTATTCCGTTCATCTCCTTAATGCACCTTATTATACGTAGACCCGAGGAGAGGTGCGGTCGGTGCGCCGGGAAGGTATACACCGAGTTTCCGGACGAGAAAGCACCGAGGTGCCGTATTTCCCGGGAAATGAGGACCGAGGGATGTTCATTAGGAATGGACCGACTGATAACGCGTGCCCGGTTGCGCCGCTTCGAACTTTAGCGCTGCTTTACGGCCGACACGTGCGCGCTCCAGTTTCACTTAGCATTGTTTGCCCGGATAAAAAGCTGCCTATCCGTCCACTCGCTCTCTAACTGCGCTTGAATGCTACGTACCCTCCTTTCTGTCGAGGCATTGTCTTATCGGCCGTTCAAGTAAGGTCCCTTTAACCGACGCGGAGCTCCCGTTTTCCCTCTATACTTCCTAAACCTCTGCAAACTCGGAGTAATTCCTCGGGCAGGCCTCGAATGGAAATGAAACATACGAGGATGGACCGTGTACGACGACCGAGTCGTCCTTGATTCGAGTAGCCCATCGTCAGGGTTCGATGAGCGATGGAAACTCTTAGACCATTAGCTTTGGCGGGTCGGGAAACTCGAGTGGCCCTCGGTCCGAGGAAACCGACCGCTTTGATCCGCGAACGGCTTAATCGCGCGGGGACTGCGTTCGACTGGCGTACACGACTCGGTACTCGTGTCGGATGTGCACGTCCGGTGCAGATACCGGGTCGCGGAATGCCCCTCGTCGCGAGTAGGTTCTCGTGTCGCATCTGGATGTTACGAGACACGGGGAATTAACTGCGCGTTCTCAGACGTACCTGCGGCCGGAGTGGAGGAGTTACGCCGGGCCGGCGGAGAATTATCCCCGTCGAATAAACCTTGACAACGAGCCCCATGAAAATTCCGCGTCTCGTCGAAACCCTCGAAACGTAGTCATCTAATTTCCCGATCACGCGTCACTCGGATTTAGAACGCGATCTCTGACATTCGAAACCGAAAATTCGACCGGGACTTGACGAAAACGTGAATTAAATTCCCTCACTTGAAGCTCGTTACACGGACCGCTGTAATTACATCCCAGGCATTAACGTTACCGTCAGCTCCCGCGAATAATCGGGGCAAAGCGACTAAAAGTCGGCTTTGCCCTGGGTTAATCGCGCAGCGAGTGGCGGGCTACTGGCGTCAACTGCGCGCGTCGCGCGCAGATATCGCTGCGAGAGCGAAGGGGTGCACACCCCTCGGCGAGGGTAGGTACGAGTACCCGACAGGTACCCACTAGGGGTGAGATCGCGCTCCCGGTGCTCGACTGTGTCAAACATTATGCAGGCAAGCAAAAGCCACTTGAAATGCAAATGTTTGCTGCAAGTGCAATTAAGGCCCTTCACCCCGCGAACGAGGGGGTCGGTCGGCGCATCCCTGACCTAGGATGCACCCGGCGACCCCGCAGACTCCTTGCGAGACGAGGTCGCTTCGTGGTCTGGGCACCGAGGATCTTTCCCGGAGACTCCAAGGACTAATTCCGCGACTAGGTGCCGGGACGATTACACGGGGTGGCGCGCTTTCGAGGGGTGGCTCGGTTTACGCGAGGGAAAAATTATCCCCGGGGGGAAAAAAATTATACCTCCATAAAAAGAGGTTAAACCTATAAGATGGGGTTGATAAAATCTTGTTTCTTTAAAGATTATGATAATTCACTTGAGTGACATTTGTTCATGGCAATGGCAATTTCCCATTTCCGGAGTGCGGCTGGGATTCCTTGGTTGATTTCCCTAGGATGTTTTTTTTTTTTTCGGTTTCTTCTCGGGTAAGTGGATTGGTGCAGGGGGGAGGGGTCTCCTTGGCGTTTCCTGGGAACCCGGCGATTTGCAGCGATTTTCAGAGACTCGTCCTAGGAGCCGCTCCTCACGTCGGGGCGCAATCAGATAGTATTCATAGATCGGGTGTCGCAAGGGGCTGCCTTCCGGGTATCCCTGGATGTTCCTCCCGCGCCTCTCCATGGGGCTCCGGCTTGGGTTCCGGGACGGAACGGGAGTTTCGGGGAATCCGGGATCGCGGGACTACCGCCGGAATTACCATCACAAAGGCGACCGCTCTGGGAATCATGTCGAGGACGCGACGCTGCTCGAATGCATCCTCGATGGCGCAAAGGGGTGCGCGACACTTCCTAAAAGGGGTGCCCGGTTAACGTCGAGTCGTGCTCGGGATGAGTTAATTGCCAGATAAAATCAGGAAGACGTCTATCCGACAACGAGGGGAAAATAACGAGAACCTTGATCCAAGAGAGTGAAAAATGCGAGGATCTCCGCAAGCCCCCAATTTTTCACGGGAATTTTTCTATAATATGTTTAACGTACTCTGGGGTCGGTCCCACCTCTTCTCCCGAGCTCGGTGGATTTTAATCACCTAAAGCCTGGATTTCCAGGACGTATAGACGTATTTAAGGGATTTTCTGGATGCCGGCACCCCGATTCCGCATTAAGTTCGACTCGGGCGCTCGGCCGCGTTTCATCCCCGTAAGCGAATCGTCGGTTAAAGTGGCTCTCTTTAAAGGCGCGACATCGATTAAGGGAATTCCCCGAGATTGCGTTTATTTCGGAAAAGTGATTTTTCGGGAAATACCCGCGGGCCCGAATTAGCGTTCCCGAGGGACCTCTAGTCGTCGTATAAAGCCGGGAGGGATCGATGGTTAAGGGAGGTTTCGTGTTGCCGCGCTCTTAACAGGGGTTGTATGGACGGCGAGGCGAAAGGTCGAGGGGTGGACTTTGAAAGGGATGTTTAACCGAAAGCCCGGAAAATTCTTCAGTGTACTTAACGACAAGCGAGCAGCCAAAGAAGCGAGCTCGAAGATACTCTTTTCCTCCAAGGGGACTCGATCGGACTCGTTCGCTAATTAATTCGCGAAATGGCAATCGTTCGCCAGGCTGGCACGAATCCGCCTTATTACGGAGCGCGAGCTCCGCGCCAAAGCCGTTTATCAAATCGGAATTGAGCCGAGGTGGACTCCGAGTTCGACAACTACTTAATTAACGATCGTAGGTGAGCCTTCCTGCAAGTTGTTCGCCGTGATCGAAAGGAGGTCCTGGACCCTCGGCTAGGACCCTCGAACCGGAAGAGATGCAAGTTCCGAACGAGGAAGAGTCGACGTCTAATGAAATCGGATGAAAAAAAATTATTTTCTTTATACTTATATGAAATATACATGTATTAAAAATCCTGGGAATGGAATTACCACCTCGTACCATAAAGAGCCCGGCCCGGTGAATCTTCGTCCACTGGGACATCGAATAATCGATGGAATCGGAAATCGGCGATCGAGGGTGCTGATCGGAAAACCCAGTCCAATCGCGACGAGAGTCGGCGCTACAATGTCGAGCGAGTGGTTTCGGAACATCCACAAGTTGCTCGCAGAATCCGATGAGCACGAGGTGTCCGAGAATAATCGACCGGCTAATCGTTCTCGCCGGTCAAAACCGCGGAACGCGATCGATTACCGATTGCGGAGTCAGACTGGCTTACGACCCGAATTTGCGAGGAATAATATCATTAGTCAATTTTTATTATATTATTTTTATACTATTATTTTGTACATTCAGGCCGCGTTGTCCCAAGTATCAACAGTCCGATCAGCTGATCGACGGAATTTAAAACCTCCCCTTCTGAATTATTCTCACCGCGGTCCGAATCATTTTTGCGTAATGTCTAAATTATCGGTAGACGGACATAAATATGGAATATGGATCCGTGGGTATCGTTACGTGCCCCAGGATCCGCAGGACGATTCCGGCCGAGGTCCAATTTTCCGCGCGCGGAACGCGCCCGTCCGTTTTATACCCTTAACCCGTTCGCCGCGCCGGACGAGGGGGTTGTAACGGGGTGAGATATGCACACGCGATAAATGCATAATGTGCCGGCGAGCGCCCCCGTATGCACGGATGCACCCGTGCATACGCGAAACCGTGCACGAGGCGGATGTATACGTAAGCGGGCACGGAGTGCATATACGACGGGGATGCATCCGCGGATCCGCGGGGCGAACCGCGGATGCGCAATGCGATGCACCGGGGATGCACGTTACTTTATGCGCCGTGATCCGGGGGACCGTTTTCCCCCTCGGCGATAAAAATAAAAAGGAACCCCCGCGAGCAAGCAGTTACGTTCTCCGTAAAACGCGAACGGATTTCCGATCCGCGGAAGGGGTTGCTACGATTGCACCCGAGGTCCCCGAGGGTAATTCACGGTAAACCGTAAGAAACGAAAGCACCTGCAGGGTAGATAAAACGTGTCATTTAGCGAACCACTTACCTGTGGGAAGGATAAAACGATGAATGCCGGTCTCGGACTGGGTAAAAAAAATTGTACCCAGAGATAGAACAATTTGAGCCACTCGTTGATAAGACCTTTTCCGATTCTTGGAAGGGGGTGATTTAATCAAGGGCAGAGTTT